GCGCAGAGCGAGCGAGCCAGACCGCGAGAACCAGAGAGCGCGCGGAGGCTTGGGCACCGACGGGGAGGGGGCATGGAGGGGGTAGAGCCTGTGCCAGGACCCCTCCCCCAATTCCAGCCCCCTCCACTCCTCTCCTGGAGATGCCAGGCCTCCCATCCCCACGCTAAGGGCCGAGTGTGTGTGTGTGTGTGTGTGTGTGTGTGTGTGTGTAGGGATGGGGAGGGGCGAACTTTAGTATATGAATCACCTGCTCCTGTACCTCCTAGGATCCACCTAGATATCCAACCCTCTGCCCACCAGCACCAGAGTCCCCTCTCTCCAAGACCCTATTAGGGACAGGGCTTGGATTTCCAATCTTCCCCTTGGCTGCGTCAAAGCTGGGACAGATCCACACAATTAGCTTTGTCTTCCTGGCCAGGCCAGGAAGTGGGGAGATGGGGGGAGAGGGACCAGCATTTTGGGGGATCCTTCTTAGTAAGTTTCTTTCTCCAGATTTTCCTCATAATCAGAAATTTGACATTGGAGATACATTCCCCCCGTCCTTTGTCAATCAGTTATAGTAGCCTGAGCTTCAGACCCCTGCTCTCAGAAGCAGAAACCAAGGCACACACCCCTCCCCTGCACGAGAGCATGTGCTTGTGTGTGCGTGCACACACACACACATACACACACACACACACATATACACCTTTTCCCTCTCAGATCTAGCATTCAAGTCTTCTTGTCCTTTCTGGACCTTTAACTCCCTAGTGTAAGGATCCAGAAATCAAATCCTCCCCCTTTGCTCTCCTCCCTTTCTTTTTAAGAATGGCTCACTATCTTACCCTCAAGACCAAAGTCTATCCAGGTGCTGGTGGCTCACACTTATAATCCTACCTACTCAGGAAGCTAAGATCTGAGGCTCAAGTTTTGAGGCCAGCCTGGACAGGAAAGTCCACAAGACCCTTACGTCCAGTTGATCAGCAAAAAAGTTGGAAGTGAAGCTGTGGCTCAAGTATTAAGAGAGCCACCCTTGAGTGACAAAGCTAAGTGCAGAACTCAGGCTCCAAGTTCAAGCCCCAATAGCGAGAGGGGGGGGCGCTGAATCCCCATTCTCACTCTAAAGATTAAAGGCTACGCCAAGTCTCTCTTCTCCTTTAGTGCTCACTGGTTTGTCTCCTCTAATAAGAATATTCAATTCTATTTTCCCTAGCCAACTGGTATACCTCTGCCCTATGTGTAAATCTGTACAAACTTCCATGTGTGTCTTGTGTGTACATGTCTATGTTTGTTTTTAACTGTGTGTACATATGTGCAGAATGTGCTAAACAAGTAGCAAGGGGCTAAGAGGTAAACTAGTGCTTTGCCTCTATTGTACCTCAAAGGTTAAAGCAGATAGTTAAGTAGGTTCATGCCTAAAATCCCAGCTACTGAGGAGGCAAAGGTAGAAGGATCTCATTCTGAGGCACTGGGAAAAAAGGCAGGAAACTGCCAGGCACCAGTGGCTCACACCTGTAATCCTAGCTACTAAGGAAGCTGAGATCTAAGGATCGTTTTCAAGCCAGCTCAGGCAGGAAAGTCTGTGAGACTCTTATCTCCAATTAATCACAGGAAAAAAACCTGGATGTTGAGAACTGGCTTAAGTGGTAGAGCAGGAGCCAGAGCTTTGAGCAAAAAGAAAGAGCTCAGGAACAGTACCTTGGCCCTGAGTCCAAGCCCCAGGACCTGAGGGAAAAAAAAGGTAAGAAACCCTATGTGAAAACTAAACTAAAGCACAAAGGGCTGGAGATGTGGCTCAAGTGGGAAGCCAAGTCTGAAGCCCTGTGTTCAAAACCACACTGCTCCCAAATAATGCCAGGTGAATCCCCAAGGTATATTTGCCTCTTTGGCTTTTATTATTATTATTAAACATAAATATTCTTATCAACATACTCCCTTTTACCTCCACAGTGATAGTTCCAATCCCATCTGCACTCCATGGGTCCAATTCTTTTGAGTATCTTAAGAAGGTTGAAGGAATCAAGATGGTGGCCATCTCTGTTCCCAGGGAGTGAACAGCCATCTTGGCTGCACTTCCATTAGCCATGGAGCTCCTCAAAGACAAAACAGGGTGGGGCCTGTTCTTCCTTTCGTCTTTGTGTGTGTGTGTGTGTGTGTGTGTTGTATGTGTGTGTTGGTCCTGGGGCTTGAACTCCGGGCCTGGGTGCTGCCCCTGAGTTTTTTTTTTTTTTCTCAAGGCTAGTACTCTACCACTTGAGCCACAGCTCCACTTTGGACATAAGAGTTCATGGACTTTAGTGCCTGAGCTGGCTTTGAACCTCTATCCTTGGATCTCAGCCTTCTAAGTAGCTAGGGTTACAGGTGTGAGTCACCTGTGCCTGACAGGTCTTTCATCTTGATTTTTCTCTATATTCCCTTTTGTCAAGATGAGGGTGGTTCATCTTGAAATACCTTTACTCAGTTGGCTAGAAATTACTTCCACCTCTTACCCCCATTACCTCTTGTCTTCATCCCTCGCAATGGGGCCTATCTGCCATCTTGAATACCTTTTATACAGGAGAATAGGTGGGCATAGAGACCATATTGCTCCCACTTGGCTGAATTGACTATATATATACACATATATACGTGTGTGCATATATGTATATATGTGTGTGTGTATATATATATATATATATGTAAACAATCCTGACAATTGTTAATTCTTGTTCTCTCCTTCGGTGTCCAGTCTGGGAGGAGCAAGGTTGTTATCTTGTTCTGATTCCTCAGAAACCTGGCCAACCTTTTATAAAGACCCCAGGACTCTTCAGCCAGAGAGATGTCACACATGAGTCTGGAGCCGTTGGTGACTAGGTGCAGAGAAGGCAGCATAGGAGAAAGGAGGTGTTCCAGGACCCAAGTCTGGGTGTCCGAAGGATGTCGGTTTGATGTAGCTGGTAAAGGCTCTTGGATGAGGGGTGGTGAGATAACCTGCCCGGGCTCTGTACAGTCTGCATGGGGGGATCATGTCCAGCTGGGGGTTGAAGTCGTAGTAGGTTGGGGTCCCTGGAAGTCCAAGTGGGGAGGAGGGTGGTAGGAAAAGGCCTCCTCCGGGGGCTTCACCGAGGCTCAGGCTCACACTGACCCCTCGCACCTTGTAGTAACCATTGGTTGGGTCCTGAGGGGACAAATGGAACTTGGTAAGGTATGTGAATGGGCAAAGGTGAGGAACATGGGTGGAGAGATGCATTGTGATAGACCTAGAAAATGACAACAACATTTAAAGGCAAAATAGGCAGGGTACTGGTGGCTCTTGCCTGTAATCCTAGCTACTCAGGAGGATGAGATCTGAGGACTGAAGTCTGAAGCCAGGCTGGGCAGAAAAAACTGTGAAACTCTTATCTCCAATGAACCACCAGAAAACCAGAAGTGGAGCTGTGGCTCAAAGTTGTAGACGGCTAGACTTGAGTGAAAAAAAGCTCTGGCGCAGCACCCAGGCTCTGATTTCAAGCCCCACAACTGACCAAAATACAAACAAAAAAAAGACAAGACAGAGCCAGGTGACTCACACCAATAATCCTAATTACTCAGGAGGCTGAGATCTGAAGACTGTGGTTCCAAAACAGCCTGGGCAAGAAAGTTTGTGAGAATTTTATCTCCAATTAACCACCCCTCCAAAAAAAGCCTGAAGTGGAGCTGGGGCTCAAGTACTTGGTTGAGTGCTAGCCTTGAGCAAAAAGAAGCTCAGGGATAGTGCCAAGTCCCTGAGTTCAAGCCCCAGGACAGCCACAAAACAAGAGGACAAAAGGCGGGGGGGGGGGCTCATGGCTGGGGTGCAGGGGACAACCAAGAAGAAGCAACAGGAGGCCTAGGACATACATGGATGGGGGAAGAATGCTGGGCCAAGGACTCCAGCTGGAACCCAAGGCTGAGACCCATTTATGGACACAAGTAGAGATGAAAAAAGGCCGTAGTGCTGGGTCAGATGGCCCAGGAGGCTGGGGTAGGTCTCAGGTCTAGGGAGGAAGGACAGGATGAAAACGGAGGAGACAGCCAGGAGTTGGAGACTCAACACTTACTTTAGTGTCCAAAGCCCCTTTCTCATCCAGAATTAGGTCACTGCAGTTGGTGTGTATCATGGGACCCTAGGGCAGGAAGTAAAGTGAGAGGGGGTGGCCAGGGAATAACCGCCCCCCACCCCCTGCACCAGGAGGGATGGCCTGGGAGCACCTAGAAGGTGAGGTCCTTGTACTGAGTACAATAGAAGAGAGGTGGGAACATAATTGGGTAAGGGATATGTATGCGGGTAGGGGAGACATTTGAATCTGGTGTCACTGTTAGGATAGGGCAATATTAAAATGTAACTAGGTTACTTGAATCTTGAGGCACAGTTGCATCTGGGGACCCTGGCATCTTACCCGATCCTCGCTACTGCCCGTCTCCTCCTCAGGGCCTCGAGAACTGGAGCCATCGCTGCTTCCAGGGATCCGCACCAGGTTCTTTTGCTTGGAGAACGAGGCTAAGGGGCGGGGTCAGTGGGAGGTGGGATTAGATGGTGGGCGGGGCCTCCGTTTGTGGAGACCAATTGGAAAGAGGGAAGATGGGGAGGCTAAGAACCAATGAGAACCCTCGCATAGGAAGGGCGTGGGGCTTCTGCTCAGGATTGGAGACCAGACTGGGGACGAGTCGGGTCCTAGGCCATAGTTACGAACACGGCATGGGGGTGGAGGTGGGGCGGAGGAAGAAGGATAGGAATTTAGAGGCTGAGGTGGGGCTCAAAGCACTGACCCTTGCTGTGACGCCAGCAGCAAAGGGCCACACCAATGATGACCATAAGGACAGTCGTGACAGAGGCCACTATTCCAGCCACAATCCGCATAGTGGGCAGCAAGTCTGCAGGGAGTAGAGAGGAGGACCAACTGTGGAACTAGGGACTTAAGGTTTGGGATTCCTGGGTTCAAAGATCACCAAGTTGGAGGAATTCCAAAGATTTGTAGTCTTCTAGTTTAGGTTTTTTTGTTTTGTTTTGGTTAGGTTTTTGCCAGTCCTAGGTCTTGAACTCAGAGCCTGTGCACTGTCCCTGAGCT